CCAACAAAAAACGGGCCGACCCGGAAGGGGGGAGACAGTAGTCAGGGGTGGCCCCCCCCCCCCGAATCACGACCGCTGCCGGTGGCACCTCCACCCGTCACTCCCTGCTGAGGAACCAGCTCAGCATCTCAGTTTTTTACCTGTAAAATGATAGATTTTTCTGTTGTTTTTAGTTTCAGCATCTTTCATTTTCTGTCCACCTGTCCCTCCGTCTCCTGGTCCACACGGAAGACATCATGACATTTACAGGGTTTATGATGCATCATTAAAAAAACAACACTTCCCACATGAATAATGCAGCTCCCCCTTTTTTTGCCCCTTTTTGCATGTGGGGGTATCATGATGCCTCAGTGGGGATGTCTCTGTGGACCACGGAGGACACTTCCCCGTCGGTCAGAGCCTCGGTCACTGTCTGCTTGACCTTGGAGGTGGGATGTGACAAATCTGGGATGGAAATGATGCTGAGAGACAAACATATGACTGATGAAGAGCGGCTGTTGGTCTGGGAGTGAGTGTGTGTGATTTAACGGCCGGCAGGTACCGAGGGGAGCGAGGGGCGGGGATGGGTGAGAGCAGCTGTGAGTGTGGGGTCATTGAGTACAGGCTGCGAGCCTCACACGCTGAGTGCAGTGTGTGTGTTGAATGCAGAGGCGAAAACTGGGCCGACACACAAGTTTGTCATTGAGTGAGGCTGATTTTTCTGGGTGAAAAAGAGTCGCCGGGCCTGCGTGACCCGTCTGGGCATCTGGATATGACAAACACGTGGCATGTGGCCCACTGAGGGCCCGGTCTTTGTGGTCATTGAGGGGTTTTCTGTGCAGAAAACACGTGGCATGTGGCCCACTGAGGGGCCCGTCTGAAAACGAAGTATTGGGAATTCTATTTTTTTTTTTTTTTTTTTTGTTAAACTTGCTTCCAGACGCGGCGTTCTGCTGTGGTGACAGAAGGAGAACGGACTGAGCCGCGCTCTGTGAAGTGGCTCTGTTACAGCCCGTGTGCATCACTGTCTGTGTTGTTTGAATAAATAAATATACAAACGCTGTGGCCAGAGGAGAGGCAGAGCCGGAGGGGGGGAGGCAGGGGGTGAGACAGATGGATGTGAGGCAGAGTTTTAAAGATATTCACAGCACATTGTTGAACACCAGTGATCTGACTGAGACTCGAATTGATTTTTTGTTGTTTAATCTTTTAAATATTTATTTATTCGTTCGTTTAGTAGATGGACATTTCGTGAAATTTCAAATTTGCGTTGGGGCCACACGGTGGTGGAGTGATGAAGGTGCATGCCTTACAGCAAGAAGATCACCGGTTTGATCCCGGTCTGGAGTTTGCATTTGTCGTGTTGCGTTTATGGCTGCAGGACTTTAGATTCTTCTTCTTCTCAGTTGTGTCACAGCAGGTCAGGTTTGTTTTTCACCTTAAAGGCTGAAAGAGTTTTGTCGCCACTGATTTTGTCACTTTTATTTATTTTTTTATTTTTTTTCACCTTAAAGGCTGAAAGAGTTTCGTCGCTGCTGATTTTGTCACTTTTTTATTCCCGTCACATCAGGACTACTGACATGCTGAGAACTTAACGAAGGACTGGAGGTCATTAACCCGTCCACTAGAGCTGAAGTGATTGGTCTGTAGGTTTAATAACAACATTCTGAGATTGAATGCGGAAAAAACGCCGACCGTCGCCGTCCGTATGAGACGCAAAACCAGTCATCAAACGGACATATTTCAAAAACTTGAGAGAGCTGATGTGTGGGAGAGAGAGGGAGAGAAAGAAGGAGAGAGAGAGGGAGAGAGAGCAGTGAAACAGCAGTTTTCATTCAAAACATTAAAAAAAGTCTTGAACCTAAAAAAGTAAAATAAACCTTATCCTTAAGTTTATTCATAAACACCTGGTTTTTCATCGTACTTTTCATCCTAGACTATAATAATTATCATTGTTATATTTTTTTCATAGAGCGTTCATAGGAAACGTATGGATGTCTGACTGCAGATGATTGTGACTACAGTGTTGGTTCAAGTCTTTAAACTTTTTGTGATCCTTTTAAGAGAAGAAACTTTCTGGAGCGTAAACTCAGAAGGATGATAATTAATAATCTTCAAACGTACACATCGTCTTCACTGTTGGCTCCGACCGTTCCTTATGTACGGTCTATGATTTCCTTCTTGATGAGAAATAATTACAGTGATATGTTGAACGTAACGACTAACGTCATCTGTCGTCGCGTCCTGATTTCCGTACGTAACGTAAACAACGTTTGTGTTTCCTGTGATTCGAGAGGACGTCTTCCTGTCCTCGATTTCCTCTCTGTCTCCTGTTATGAATAGGTGTAAAAGGTAAAGGTCACCCCTGGTGGCTGCTTGATTAAAGGCCATGCCATTTACCACTGGTGTCCTGGGTGCCAGTCCCGTTGTGGACATTGTTAGATGTCATCCTCCTTTGTCTTCTGTCTCTCCTGCCTCTGGCCTCGCGCTGTCCAATCAGGAGACAGATGGAGGGATGGGACTGAATCCCCTCAGAGTTTGTCACTTTGTGTCGCTGCTCTTTTAGTTTCCCACCTTTCAAAAAGAGGATTCTTTCTATTAATCTGAACGTACCTGTCTGTAGGGGGCGCTTTTGTGTTGTAAATGGCCTCTGACTCCTTCGTGCTGCTGTTTCCGACGACTCCTCTGTGACTTTTTTGCTCCAGACGTTCGGAGGTCAGGGCGTCGCGTCTCCTGACTCGTGGTGTGACGTCTGTCGTGTACATGAACAAATGAAGAGAATCCAGATTTAATGTTCCCCGTTGAATGCTTCCACTCCGTCGACACCTCCCACGGCAGCCGCTCTCCACTGCAGTGTGTGGTGGAGAGTAATGATGTGTGGTAATGACATCCTTCAGGCGACTCATCTTTGTTCATTTCATCTCTGTTTTCGTCTCGTTACACCTTCTGCAGCCGTTTGCATGACACCGTGCAAAATAAATAACGTTTCAGGAGCCGACAGTTTGTCCCGTCTCGTTGGCGCCGGGGTCTTAGTCTGAAGCCGCTTTAATCACCGCCCGTAGAGTGTGGAGTCGATTCATTAGTCTGTGAGGCGGCGGTTCTCCGACATTGGAAAGTTGCTCAAAGGCTTGAGGCACAGTCTAATCCTGTCGCTGCAGGATTAAAATAATCACAAACTTAGGGTTGTCTTACAGTATCGGACGATATTAGCCTAATTATGTCATATCTGTGAGGATCGTTATCGGTTTATCCTGCGTTAACGCAAAGCCAGGGTTTCGTGAAATTTGCTAAAATGGCTTGTGGCGTCTGCAGTTGTGAGGAAAAAACGGCCGCATATATCGGTATCGGTTGATATCGGAATTGTAAATTAAGTTTACGGACAATATCGGCTTAGCGGATTTTTGATTAACTTAACTTAAAATAAAGCTAAATGATAGCAGGCTGCTAACATTGTTAGCACCAGGACTTACGTTGTAGATCGGCCGGCCTGCAGTCCAGAATCCTCTACTCTGACCAATCACAGCAGACAGAAAAATAATCAGAAAACTATGACCCA